ATCTGTCCGAGGAGCACGTTCTCTGCAGAACTCTTGCCCTTCCCCTCCCGCCCACGACCGTCGCGACGACCACGACCCCGCCCGCGTCCCTTCCCTCGAGCGCTAGCTGGAGCCGCCGCCGCCTTTGGCAGCACCATAACTGGCACACTCGGCAGCCTGGGGTGCGCATACGATGGGATCGCGAGCGAGGTTCGCATCAGGACATAGGAACATGAGGAGGAAAGCCGATTAACGATCCACAGATGGCGTGGCGTTGCCCCGCGGGCCGAAGACAGCACGTGCCAGATCGCAGGCGGAGCGGCCTCCTCCTCTCTCGTCGCGAGGTCGTCCTCGCGCGCCGAGGATCGGTGGATGAGGGGCGAGGAAGGAGGGACGAGAGAGGAGGGAGGGAGGGATGGGAGGGAGGGGTGGGAGGGAGTTTTTTCCCTCGACGTTCCCCGAGGGCAGGACCAGTGCCAACGCTAACACTTTGGCCACCGTGGGCGGCGGATGCCGCCCCGCCGCACCTGGACACCGCCTCCCGCCTCCGAGCGCGTGCTGGGAACGCCTGCGTGCCTGACGTTTGAGGCAGAGCCCCCGGCCCTCTTGAGAGGCTGGCTGACCTCAGGAGGCGGCGGAGGGGTGGCGGCATGCTGCATGCAGGCCGCACCCCGACGTGAAGTCTGGCTTCAACGAGCGCCCTCCCCACGATAATGGGAGTGCAGACGAGCATATAGGCGACGCACTGCGTCGCATGTATGCTCCGGGAGGCCCGTATACATGTGTGTCGTATATACTGACGCACTACGGGAGCCCCGACGACCCTGAGGGTCGTCGGGGCCCCTGGCATCTTACGCAACGGGCAATCCCTGCCAGAAAGAAAACAGCGGCGCTGTGTACGCCCCGCGCGTCATAAAACAATGCATTGCCGGCTCGACATTATGCTTGGTGACACGCGTGTGGGCCAACGTGTGGCCCCTGCTGAAATCAAGAACTCATCGCCAGGTCTTACGGGGCCCAACACATCCTACCATTGGTCTGGTCCCGGGATCCTTTTAAAGCACCAGACATCTGAGACACCGCGCTGTACACTCCTCCAGACTCTCACAGTGGTGCTAGCCCAAAAACACCGGCAAACAACTCCTCGGGATGAGAAGCTGGCCCTGGGGAAACCTTCGGGGCTTCCGGGGGCCCAGTTTGGCAGCAGCCACAGGGGGGGGCAGGGGGAGGAGGGAAGGCGGCTTAGAAGGAGGCTGCCTCGTAGAACGCGCCGGCCTTCCATCTGTAGACATGGCCCGCGCCTTCTGAGAAGCAGGGATGCTTCTAAGAAGCCTTCCATCTTTCCCTGCCCCCCCTCTGCGCATGGCCGACCCGCATATGAGAAACCCAAGGACATCAGACGCCCAGGGCCTCGGTGCCGGTCGTTCTCTCTTCGGCTGGCCTGGCGCCTCCTGGGGTGCCCCAGCTTCCTCCTCCGCCCCCCGCTGCCCCTTCGCGCTCCCGCTCCTCATGCTTCTCTGGAGCAGGCGGCGCAACTTACACGCGAGCGAGCGAACGAGGAGGACGAGGAGGAGGGAGGGGGAGGAGGATGGGTAGCAGAGGATGATGAGGATGAGGGAGCAGGAGAAGGGGGGGTGATGAGGCGGCTGAGGAAGAGGAGTGGCTCGCGCGCTTTCCAGCACCCCGGCTGACTGTTTCCCCGAAGCCTAATGGCTAAAGCCTGACTGGCGATCCCACTGCGACTGAGTCAAGCGACTCCCCAGATCGCTGCGAGCCAGCTGCCCACAAGCCGTGCAGAACATCAAATTCGCCCTCACTGGCGTGAACCGCCGATCGTCGGCGTGGCGCCTCACAGCCCAGCGCGTGTGCGGAACTCAGCCCCGAGCCGCCTGTGGGAAAACCACAAGGTAACGATGCCGCTGCTCCCCGGACCTCTCCCAGGGCGCGTTATGACCAGGACTTCGAAACGAATCCTTGGCGACGAAGGCCTCCCGGGAGGCCCAAAGAGGCGCAAACGAGGGATGGAGCTAGCGGTGTCGGTGTCTTCTCCTCCTCCGAGCCTCAAGCAGCGTGGCCTTGGCCTTGTTCACCAGCCCGTCGGCCGCCAGCAGCGCCTCGAGGAGCATGTCTGGGCTGAAGCCCCTGCCCGCCACCTCGCCGCGGGAGGCCAGGTTGCGCAGGGCGCCCTCCATGCCCCTGCGCACGGCCTTCTTGAAGGCCTCGCTGCCCTCCAGCGCCTCGGCCGCCGCCTCGGGCTCCCCGGCGCCGCTCTCCCCGCGCGCGCTGGCGGTGCCGTCGCCCGCCGCGGTCTTCGCCGGGCGCCCGCGGCGCTGCCTCTTCGCCGGCGCCTCGCCGGCGACGCGCTTCTCCATCTCCTTGTTCTTCTCCTGGGGCAGTGCCAAGGGGGGTCACCACTGAGGGGGTTCGCCGCTTCCTCGAAGAGGCGCCCTCGCCTTGAGGGAGGATTACACGTTGTTTTTGTATGGCCACCACTCTTTTACGGCTTCCACTTGTCACACAACAGCGTGTGATGTTCTTGATATAGATACCCGTTCCTTATGGCTTCCAGATGTCACAAGCACGTGTAGAGTAATATGCACATATGCATGTGTGCGCATCTACAAGTTGTGTGGCTACCAGTTGCCATACACATACCTATACGACCACCCTTCGGGTGATAAGGAGGTTCGGGGGGATGGAGGAACCAGCGTTTCACTCGATCGGTCTCACTATCGATCTCAATATCGATCTCACTATCGGTCTCGCTCGATCGATCTCACTCGATCGATCTCACAATCGATCTCACTCGATCTATTTCATTCGATCGATCTCACAATCCATCTGATTTTCGATCTCACAATCGATCTCACAATCGATCTCACATTCGGTCTCACTATCGATATCACAATCGATATCACAATCGATCTCACAATCAACGTCATCATCGTCAGCATCAACATCATCGTCATCATCGTCATCAAGATCATCGTCATCGGGACACCATCATCATAGTTATCTCATCACCATCATCATCAAAATCATCATCATCATCATCATCATCATCATCATCATCATCATCATCATCAATCATCGGGACACCATCATCGCCAACATCATCATCAACATCTTCATCATCGGGACACCATCATCATCATCGGAACAGCACCATCATCATCATCTCATCATCACCATGAACAACATGTTCAAGATAACCATCATCATCGGGACACCGTCATCATCAACAACAACATCGTCATCAACATCATCATCATCATCATCATCATCATCATCATCATCATCATCATCATCATCATCATCATCGGGACACCATCATCGTCATAATCATAACCATCATCATCATCATCATCATCGGGACACCATCATCAAAACCATCATCACCTCATCATCATCCTCATCATCAACATCATCATCATCGGGACATCGTCATCGTCATCATCATCATCATCGTCATCATCATCACCGGAACATCATCATCATCGGGACACCATCATCATCACCATCATCATCAACAACATCATCATCAACCTCATCAAAATCATCATCATCAGCATCATCGGGACACCATCATCATCATAATCATCATCTTCGTCATCAACCTCATCATCAAGATCATCAATATCATCAACATCATCATCAACATCATCATCATCATTATGACACCATCATCATCACCACCATCACCATCACCATCACCATCATCAACATCGTCAACATCATCATCATCACCATCATAATCGGGACACCATCATCATCATCACCATCACCATCACCATCACCATCACCATCACCATCATCAACATCGTCAACATCATCATCATCACCATCATAATCGGGACACCATCATCATCACCATCACCATCACCATCACCATCATCATCATCATCACCACCATCATCATCGGGACACCGACGGGACACTGGCGGGACACCGGCGGGACACCTCGCGGCACCGCACGCCGGAAGGGAATCATTTGGTCCGGCAGCGCCTCAGCCGGAGACGGGACACCGGCGGGACACCGCGCGGCACTGGTTGCTGGAAGGGAGTCATTTGGTCCGGCCGCGCCTCAGCCACAGGAGACCTTCTTCTCGCCCGCCCACGCAGCTTCGCCTCGCCCGCGCGCACGGCACGCACGAACACGAAACCGAAACCGATTTCCCAGTAGGGGGGCTCTCCGTTCCACTTCGATCTCACCCCCTCACCTCCGAACGTGTGATGCCCCATCTTGGTACTGACCGTTGGCGGCGCGCACAGGGGGGCAGGGAGAAAGGGAACGGCTTCTCAGAAGGAGGCTGCTTCGTAGAAGGCGCCGGCTCTACATCTACATACAAGGCCCGCGCCTTCTAAGACGCAGGGGTGCTCCTGAGAAGCCTCCCCCCTCCCCTTGTTCCCCTCTGCGCGTGGCCGAATCTTGGCACTGTCCGTCTCCTCAGGAGTCTGCGCCTTCTCCGCCGCGGCGCGCTTCTGCTTGGCGGCGGGCGTCGTCGGCGACGCCCCCTTGGCCCCCGCGCCACTGCCCCTCCTCCCCGCGCCCGCGGGCGCCTCCTCGAGCGCCTCCGCGGGCGCTGCGGCCGAGGGCTCCACGGCTGCCGCCTCGGGCCTCCCCGCGGGCTGGCCCTCTGCGCTGCCGGCCGCCGGCTTGCGCCCCCTCCTGGCCGGCGGCGGGGCCTTCGGCCTGGCCGCCGCCTCGGGCTCCGGCGCGGTCGGGGCGCCAGGCGCGGCCTCGGCCGCCGGCGCGGCGGGCGCCGCCGCGCGTCCCCGCTTGGCTGGGGGCTCGGCGTCGGGCTCGGCGCGTGGCTCGGCGTCCTGCTTCTCGGGCTGGGCCTCGGGGTCTCCAGAGTGCGCGCCTTCCGGCTCGAGTTGGCGCGGCGGAGCAGGCCGTCAACCACCCGACGTGTCTTCAAGGGGCCTCAGGTTATTATCCCTCCAGCACGCCAGAGGCTGAGCGAGGATTGGACGATTGCAGGAATCACATCAGCCCTAGGTGCGTTGGTGGTTGAGGGCGCCCGCTCTTTCAGACCCCCCTGCATCCCCTTTGGTGAGCAGTTTTTACCCCCCCTATCTCCACGCCGCAAGGCCCCCTCCCTCCTAGCGAAACCTCCTGGAGGCCCGCTCGGGGGCCTCTTAAAAACCCTTCGGGGCCTCTGGAAAGTTTCTTGGACGGCTCTTGGGGGCCTCCTCCATCTGAGGGCTTCGTGGGGCCATTTTGCGACAAGAACGATTTCCCTTGTTGTCCTTTTCAAGATTTGGAGCGGCTTGGTGACCTCTTGGGCCTCCTTTGGGGCCCTCGTGGGGGCTTCTGGGGCCGTCCTGGGCTCTTCCTGGGGCCGTCTCGGAGCTCTCTCAGGGCCCCCTTGATGCCATTTTGACCCCAAGAGGCCTTCAGGGACGAAAACGAGATAATGCGGCAAACATCACTGCTTCTATGAAAGGTCGTCAAAGAATTTTGGCGTCTCGGGGCGTCTTGGGAAATTTTCACGTTCGCTTCAACGACATGCGGAACGAGCCTGCTGGTTGAAACTTTGACTGCTCGACGCGGGCGTCGCCTTCATAGCGTTAGATTGGCACCTCTGACTTTCAATGCGTTCTCTAACCCAGCAAGCAAAACTATGTACCGACCACTTGCCTCGTCAATACCCTTGACGATCCCTATCTGGCCGTTGTGCCTCTGGGCGGCCTCACTTTGCAATCCAAATATGCGCACAGCAGACCCGCAACAGAAACCAATGTGAGATACAATTTTCATATCTCCTGCATCGTCGATTATGTTAAAATCTCCAGTGCTTTCATCATGACTATGAACTCTGAAATGCAAGTCTCCGAACCGGACCAACGCATTCGCTTGTACAAACTTTGAAGCGTTCACAGCGAATGAGCTTCTCACCTCGCCCAGCTCGCTGCCCTGAGGCGCCTCCTGGGAAACCTCAACAACATATCGACCCCCCTGCATCGCCATGATTTTGCCCACTTCGCCGTTTAATTCTGGCCTTGATGCTAAATGCTGTAATCTCACGTGAACACCAACGGCAAATCCATGTTCCGCTCTTGGTGGTGGCCTATTCAAAGTCTCACCATCCAGCAACCCCTCCGTAACGACACAAGCTGGTATGTTGAGGCCAAATCTGCCGATCCCCGCTTGCCAGGGGTGAAAAAGGTGTGAGAGATGACTGGCTGTTCCCCCCACCCCGTTTCCTTCCCCCAGGCGTCCGAAATCCCAAGTGGGTCGGCGGGGCGGGGCGGGGAGAGGTGGGGTGGGTGGGAGGGTGGGGGGGCGAACTCGCCATCCAGGGCTTTTGGAGCCTCCAACTCCACCCCCCGCGGCCGCCAAGATGCCTGAGATGCCTTGGAGGGCTGGCTCCACAAGATGCCCCATCGCGCAGGGAGACCCCAAGAACGCCCACGATGGCCCGAGACCCCCTCAAGGCGCCCCAAGAGCGCCCCAAGAGTATCCCCAGAAGAGGCTCAAGAGGCAAGCATCATTGATGTCCCATTGGCTTTTGCGTAGTTGTCGCGTTTGCCCCTCTTCGGGCTGCTGAACATGCAAGGTGGCCCGAAATGCCCCCCGCGCCGACCCAACAACCCCAGAAGGCCCCAAGTGGGGCCTGGAGACAGCCTTGAAAGGGTACTGAGATGCGCCAGGGGGGCCCCTTAGACAACAAAAGAAACCCCCAAAGTGCCCCAAGAGACACCCAACAGGGGGAACTCGCAATGACCCCAAGGCAAAACGAAATCAAAACGAGGAACAAAAATCGGGTGAGGATAAATCGAGACTCTCTGAAATCTGGGGGCGTTGGAGAATGTGTCGGGCGCTGCGGCCCTCTTAGAGCGTTCCGGAACGGATTTATCCTCGTCCGAGCCCCGTCCGACAAGAGCCCCCCCCCCCCAACGAGGTGGTCTCCAAGACACCCTATATACGCCCAAGACACCTCCAGAGGACCCCCCCCCCCGGAGCTCTGAAAAGTCTCCAAGAAGCCGCTCGCTGGACCTCCGAAAAGCCCTCTAGAAGCCCGCCCAGCAGACGCGGAGGAAAAAGAAATTACCCAACACAAACTACACATACATCATCAGAAACCGCGCAACTCCTCTTCTGGCGGTCGACAGACTTGCGTAAGCCTCTTGAGTATATAAGCGTTGTTGCGCTGAACTGTTTCTCCTGTAAGAGCAGTCTGGTCTGCGGGAAGCTTTTTGTAAGCCATTTGCCGGAAAGGATTCAGAGTATATTCTCGCACTGCGCCGTGCATGCCGTAAGCCTGCTGGACCATCCGCAAAGTGTAACACCCAATTCGTGCAGAATACTGCGTGTAATCGGTGAAAACCGATGGGATTGCGTGCTCACAGAGTTTTGCGATGGTTGGGCGCCATTCCATGTAAGCGCCAAGGCCTGCATTGAAACCTACTACAACATCGGGTTTCATAATCCGACGCTCTTCCAACAAATCGTGCCAGTTCCCCTGAATCAGCATCGCGTGTTCAGGAAGGGCCTGGTTGTGCTTACCTAGACTTTGCTGCATTTCATCATTTCCTATCAATGTTAATCGGAGCGTAACCTGTTTCCCCAGGCGTTCTGACAAGCGGAGTTCAGTCTGTGTTGCAAAATACCCACGCATCTCCCGTACACGCCACAACTCCCTCTCCACACCTACGATATGAACATCCAGAGATCCATCTACCTTTACCAACGGCATCAAGAAATGATCCCCCAACACGTAATCGAATATGTCCGCCACCGCGCCGTGAGGCACGGGTTGTAGTGTCGTCAGGTCCCATAAGCTCCTCGGTCCTCAGCTCTGCGGGCTCTGTAGTAGGCCCACATCCCCAGGCTCGCTCTTGGGCGCTCTCGGCGTTCCCGGGTCTTCCCGCGTGAGCTGTTCGGAACCATGCGGGGCCCAAGACGGCTCCCGAACAGGTCCAAGAGCGCCCCGTATCGCCTGAATAACACGCTAGGGCGCCCAAGGTGGCCTCCAGACGGCCCCAGAAGCCCCCCAAGAGGGCCTGGGAGGCGAAAGTCATAGATTTCCCTTGGGCCTTCTGTTTCTGATGTGTATATATACATATATATATATATATATATATATGTATGTGTATATATATATATATGTTTATATGTGTATGTATATATGTAGATGTATACATATATATATATATAAATATGTATATATATATGGGTACATATATATATATATGTATATATATATAAAACTAAAAATGTACGAGTACCCACATATATATACACATATATATATATATATATATATATATATATACACATATATATACATGTGTGTGTACTCCTATAATTGTACATCCAGTGAGGGAAAAATCCCCCCAGATGGCCCACGCACCCCCCCCGACACCTTCTCCGACGGTGCTCCCGCGCCCCCGGGTCCGCCGTTCCGGACATCCGCTAGCCTCCCAAACCTTCCATTTCGCCAGTTCGCTTCCGACGGACAACCGAGGCCCCGCTGTGACTCCCCGCGAGGTCCCAAGAGGCACGATGCTCCCGAAAGATCGCCATAAGGCTCCCAAGATGCCCTAGGCCGCAGGAGGCCCTCGCGAAACCCCACAAGCCCCCCAGACGCTCCCAAGACGACCTCAAAAAGGCCCCAAGAGGCCCCACCAGGACCCTACGAGGCCCCACGCTGCCTCCCGAGGCCCCTTCAGAGACTCCAGTGCCCCGAATCAATGCATTCTATATTCTCGCCGTTTCGCTTCCGACGGACAACCGATGCCCCACTATGACTCCCAACAGACTCCCCACGAGGCCCCAAGAGGCCCCTGAAGGCACCCAAAAAGCTTTCAAAAAGGTCCCGACGACCCCCTATAAGGCTCCCAAGACGCCCCCAAAAGGCCGCAGGAGGCTTTCACGAAACCCCACAAAACCCTATGAGGCTCCCAGGGCGCCGTCCGAAGGCCCCAAGAGGCCCCACCAGGCCCCCACGAGGCCCCCACGCTGCCCCCCGAGGTCCCTCAAAGACTCCGGTGCCCCAAATCAATGCGTTCTGTTTTCTCGCCGGCTTGCCTCCGACGGGCAACCGAAGCCCCACTATGCCTCCCAAGCCCCAAGAGGCCCCTGAAGGCACCCAAGAAGCCTTCAATATGGCCCCGATGGACCTCCATAAGGCCCCCAAGATGCCCCCAAGAGGCCGCACGAGGCCCCCACGAAACCACGCAAGCCCCCGTGAGGCTCCCACTACGCCCCCCAAAAACCCCAAGAGGCCCCACCAGGCCCCTACAAGACCCCCACGCTGCCCCCGGAGGCCCGTCAGAAACCCCACGCTGCCTCCCGCGGCGCGTCAAAGACCTCAGTGCCCCAAGTGTGCCCCCAGAAACCCCCCAAACTTCCCCGACCGCAACCAAGGAAACAATACGTTCATTTGCTACTGCTCGTCCTCTTTTTCATTTCGCACCCCGTCCCCTGCCCCATGCATTGCCTCCGTCCCATCATCCGTTCCCTCGTCTCTTGCCCACCTCATCCTTCTCCTCTTCCTCCTGCTCTTACTCCCTTCTCCTGCTCTCGTCCTCCTCGTGCCATCCTTCCCCCTTCCTCTCTCTCTCTCTCTCTTTCTTTCTTTCTCTTTCTCTTTCTCTCTCTCTCTCTCCTCTTTTTCCCCTCCTCCTTTCCTCCTCCCTTTCGTCTCTCTCTCTCTCTCTCTGATATTCCTCGTTATCCTCTCCTCTTCTTCCCTCCAACTCCTTTCCTCCCTTTCTTTTCCCGATCGTTTCGCTGCGTTGCTCTGGTTCGCAAGAGGGTGAGATGAACACGCTCGCGTACGCGTTCAAAGGGGCGTTTTCCCACAGCCCCGATCCCCGATCGACGATGCCCAATCTGGAA